GAAAGAGTGGAAAGGCTTGGCTTGACGAAACCGTGGCTGGAATGACCCAGTTAGGGATGGCTCTGCTTTGAGTAGGGGCTGGGACTAGATGACCCCCCTGAGGTCCCTTATAGCCCTAATGTTCTATGATTCTATGAAAGAGTCCAGCAGAGAGTGAAAAATGATTAAAAGCTTGGGAAGCATGACTTATGAGGAAAGGCTGATATAAGTAGGGTTATTTAGCCTGGAAAAGAGAAGACTGGGAGGGGTTTAATAACAGCCTCCAAATACTTGAAAAGTGATAACAGAAGGAATGGAGATGGTCTTTTCTCTGTGGCTGTAGGGGGCTGGACTGGGATCAATGGCTTCAAGCTGCAGTAGAGGAAGTTTAGTTTGGAAATTAGGAAGAACTTTCTGACTATGAGTGTGGTTAAGCATTGAAACAGCCTACACAGGGAAACTGGAATCTCCATCCTTGGAAGTTTTCAAGAGCAGGTTAGGTCATGGGCGGGCAAAATATGGTCTATGGGCCAAAACCAGCCTGCGGAGTGATTTTGCATGGCTTATGGGGGGCCCCAGAGCCCTGCCTGGCCCAGGTATGGGGACAGCCTGAGCTGTGGTGCAACAGCTGGTCTGGCCACCCCTGGGTGCATAGTGGGGCTGGGCAGCCAGACTCCATTTCCCAGCTACCACTGCCAGACCGGGCCCCACTGCCCAGGCACCCTGACCCATTTACCCCGCACCCACCTTTGGGAGTGGGACCAGCACAGGCAGGGTGCACGACCAGGTGGATGGGATGGGGCCATGGACTGGCAGGGAGCAGTGTCCCGGAGTGGGATGTGTGATGGAACTGGAGAAACCCCAGGATCTTGGGGTGGAGACAGCTCAGGGCTGGGGCCAGGGCAGAGCTGTGATCCGCTGCCTGCATGTCCCTGCAATGGGCACAGGTTCTGTGGGCAGGGGATGTGGGGCATGGATCATGGCTCTGTCCTGGCCCTGGCCTTGGCCCCAGCCCCATGCTGTCACCATCCCATGATCCTGGCTCTGACCCTGGCCCTGGCCCTGGCCTTGGCCCTGGATGCAGCTTCCTATCCATCCAGCTGCCAGCCCTTCCCACACAGTCTCCATGGAGATCCTGGGATCATGGGGCCGGGATCAGGGCAGAGCCCCAGTTTTGTGGGCAGGGCCATGTAGGGAGCACATCACAGCTGTTTCCTGCCCCCATTCTGTCACTGCCCTGAGATCCCAGGGTCTCCTTGGAGCCTGGCTGGAAGCTGCTCAGGTGGGCAAGAAGCTGCATCCAGGGCAAGGGCTGGGATGTTGGGGTGGTGACAGTGCAGGGCCAGGGCCAAGGTGGAGCCATGATCTGCTCCCTAGCCCTTCTGATAGTCTGGAACACCTACCGTATGGGGCTGGGGTTGAGGCCCTATTCTGGGGCAGGGATGTGTGGGGAGTGCATTCAGTGCATCACAGTGCATCCTGTGCTGTCACCGCCTCATGATCTTGGTGGGGCGTGTGGGTAGATAAGGAGCTGTGTCCAGGGCCAGGGTTGGGATCTTGGGGTGGTGATGATGCACACCCCCGCCCACTGAACCCATGATTGTCACAGGAGCATGCAGGCAGTGGATTGTGGCTCTCTGCTTGGCCCCTGTCCTGTTCTGTCACTGCCTCACAATCCTGCCCCATCCCGCTCTTGAACGCTGCTCCCCACCCGACCATGGCCCCATCTCATGTAGGGAGTTTTGGTGAGTTGTTGCTGGGGGGGGCTGATCCAACCTACAACAGCTCAACAAAACTCCCTATGTGGCCCATGGGCCCAAATAATTGCCCACCCCTGGGTTAGGCAGATGCTTGGGTGGGTTGGTTTAGTTACTGATGATCTTGCTTTGAGCAGGGGACTGAACTAGATGACCTTGTGAAGTCCCTTTCAGCCCTACTTTCCTATGATTCTATGAAGGCTACTAAGAAATGTCAAGTATGTATAGAATTTTAAGATTAACCTTTATAATATTTTCTCTTCTGATTCTGAGATATGCTTAATAAGGTCAAATCTGCTTGCTGTCCTTACAGAGCAAATGCTTAATATGAAATGTATTCAGACATGCCAAACCATAGTTGATTTAACTGAATAGTTAAGAAATTTACTCCTTAGAATAAACTCCTCTGTGTGGTTATATGAGTTTACAAATTACTGTACTTATCTCTTGAAGGGAGAGATTTATATCCAAGGGAAATAATGCAAGCAGCAAAGAGAGTTAAAAGCACAAAAGCTACTGTTATGCGATCATGGTTTCACATTACATTTAAATAAAACAAAGGATCATTTTCATATAGAGTTCCTCATGAAACTACTTTATTTTCATTGCTAAGGAGAAGCAAACCAAAACCAGTAGACAGTATAGAAAAAAGATGATCTATTTTGCCAAATGAAGCACTAAAAGATGTTGCTGTTTGTGACTTCTGTGAGTCTTTTGTTGAGAAGAGAGATTTTTATTGAGGCTAGTAGAAAGTCTGATAAAAAAACAGTACATTTTGAAGACTTGTTTTCTTTTGGTAATGGTTGACAGTTACAATATTTCCCTTGAAGAGAAACATAAGGGTATAAAATAAACTTTTGAAAGTAGTTTCTTTTGTAGATAAATGTTTTAAGATGATAATTACTTCTTCAGTTAGTAGCAATGAGTTTTCTGCCTGTCAACTACTAATTAAGAAGTATGATCTCCACACAGTACTCGCACTGAGGCTCCTTTAATGGCAATTGGGAATATTTGACTATAATGAAATCAGCATATACTGTGAAGAGTTTCTTTTTGCTCTAAATTGCAGGTGTGAGGGTATAATTTTTAATGAAGTAAACAGCTTATTCAGTGGTATGTTAATGCTTTTTAACAGCTCCCATTTCTGTGAAACAGTGCACTTAGACTATTAAGATGAACAATACATTTAAAAACCTTTACCATTCTGTATGTGGATTATCTTTAAGGCAGATAAATACCCAGAGTGGTAGTCTCCCAGCCAATGGTGGTCATGTTTTTTTGGATGCATATCTGTATCTGTCTCCTCTAGATTATATCAATACATTATTAATTAATAAAATAATGCATTATTAATTAATTACTGAATTATTGTATACTGCCAAAAAGTCTCAGTCTAAAAATTATTCTAATTTCTTTCTCCCCTTTCAAAAAAGGTTGTAGGAGGGAAGATGACTGAATCAGGTCGACTGTGTGCATTTATTACCAAAGTAAAAAAAGGAAGCTTAGCTGATACAGTGGGGCACCTTAGACCAGGTATGTATTTGTTTCAGAAATACCCAGCTCAGCTATTATACAACAAGGAAACAAATCCTGATAAGTTTAGCTGAAGTACCTCTGTCCACTAAATGTAACGAGCTACCACAGCATGTCTGACAAATTAGAAAGTTCAAAATGAGACACATTCAGTCACTAGATTAACCACATTATCACTCTAGCAGACTCTCTCAAGTCTCACATAATTTTTAAATCAAGTTTTCATTTTTCCTCCCATACCACTGTTGCCAGTAGTTAAGATTGTGTTGTGTCTTCAGTGATGCATATTTGTCCCCTCATTGTATGAAATATATTTTAATTGTAGACCCAACCAAGCCACCCCAAATCTGCTCTAAAGACCCAGCACAACAAAGAAATGTTTATATTTTATATTCTGCCCATACCTCTGTATGCAATCCAGCTCCCTTTAAAACTGCTAAGGATTGCTATCTTGGGAAATTTACAAGAAATATTGTATTTTAATATTAGAATAGATTTAGGATTCATGAAAAGACTGTACAACTGTAAAATGCGAGTAAGGCTTCTAGCTGCTGGTTAAGGCTGTTGTGTGATGACCTGAACTTTTCAAAAGAGCAACTCACCTTAAAAAAAGACTCCCCCCACAAACACTAGTAAAGAGCTATATCTGACATTGGTAATGGCCCAACTGGGGGCAGTAAGTAGGACTCAGGTGGAATTTAGGTACCTAAATTCCAAAAAGTACCCCTGTTTGGCCCCGCCCCATAAGCCACAGAGCTTGGTAAGTACCTAAATTAGATACCTCTGAGACCACACTGTATTTGGCTCTAGATGGATTAAGTGTCAATATTAGTATTTCCTTGATATTTATTCAATCAAAGCTGAAATATGGAAAGCTTCTCATTGGCTTTTGTGTATTTGAGACATTGTATTTGTTCTACAGTACAGATTGTACAATTCAGAAAACTTGTAGTAGAATGATGAGGCTGTTGTTGTAAAGGCTGATCATAGGATAAGTTTTCTTTCCTAATTATTCTTTCCTATTATTACTGCATTTGTAGGTGATGAAGTGTTAGAGTGGAATGGAAGGCTATTACAAGGTGCCACCTTTGAGGAGGTGTACAACATCATTTTAGAATCCAAGCCTGAGCCACAAGTGGAGCTTGTAGTTTCAAGGCCAATTGGGTGAGTTGTTTTGTACTGCTTAAAATAAGATGCCATTAGATTTTATTTTAAGCCTCAAACATATAAGACAGCTTCACAGAGATTGTAAAAAATGTAAAATGGTATATCACTTGTAATAAAAAAGTACAGTGTGTTAGGCACACGTCAAAACTCATGGTGGGGTGGAATCTCATATCCCTTGAGAGAGGTTCAGGAGGCATTTCCCGGTTCACAGAATGAGCACAACTGCTATTATAGACTCATGGGAAAGTGTAAAAGGGATGGTGAATACCCTGGATGGGGAAACAGGTGACTTTTCTTCAGAAGAAACAACTTGTTTTTTATCCCTTGCACGCCACTCGTGTCACATACAGGTCAGTTAGCTCATAATGAACCTGGACTCATTTGCTGATCTTCTTCAATGTAATTATTTTTGTCAAAATATATACTGTATTAATATAATGCATACTCTCATGTAAGGGGTGATTCTTTTGTGTATGAAATCCAATTTTTTTTTGCTTGTAAGTGAAAAGACTAATCAACTGTTGGTTAGCATCTGGGACATAGTATACCTTAATGAAGCATTAGCTGAACCCACCATATACGTTGTACTTATGTCTTAAATTGTTTACCACTTTCCTTTTACTCTATTACATTGTCTAGTTGCTCTTACCTTTGGCACGTAGTTGCTTATATCTATTCTAAACTTTTTTTTTCTATGGTTTTAGGCTCTTTCCTTGTTCTGCTGTCTTCTGAGACTATGAATAATTCTTGTCATTTATATTTTTATTTAAAGGTACTGGTCATGTTCGTTTTCCCTCCTAGACTTTATACATTTTGTTCACTCATTTTTTTCAGCTAATACCTTCTTCAATACTTGCATCATTTTTGTTGCCCTTTCAATTTTCTCTATTATTTTTCTATTTTTTAACCCATGGATCCCAGTTCTGTATGCACTGTTCAATGTGTGGTCACAGTAGGGCTGTGAAGACAAACATTAGTAGTAGTACCTCCCTAGTTCATTTATATTTGCTTTCCCTAGTCATATGGTTTTGCATTATTTTGTTGTGTATATCCCTATTTGTTTTATACATCTGTGATTCTGAAGTATTTAAAATATAGTATATATCAAGGATGGTAAACATATGACCTGCAGACTGGATCTAGCCCATAGAGTTGGATCATCTAGCCCCTGGGGCTTCTCATAGCTTGGGACACCTACTTCCATGGGACAGATTTGACCCATGCAGCTGCTGGGCGTACCTATGGTGGTGGCATTAATCCATGCTGTGTCAACATGGCTCCAGAACCCAAGGAGTTAACACTGTTGCCACCAA